ACGCAAAAACACATAATCAAAATTAAACCTTGATAGCATACCACCACCATAGTCACAATCAACAGCACTCGTCTGCCTTCACTCATGGGGGAGGAACCCTTTTTTTTTTGCTTCCCTGCGTAATCAGAAGAGGTCAAAGAAGATCTGTGTTCTTCTTCATCTACTCCCATGGACAACCTTGAAGGTGAGTAATTTCAGTACTGAGATTTTTAGATCTCTTTTTGCGAACAGCCTCAATCTCTCTTCAAAATCAGACATACGTTTTGGAGTTTAATTGCTACACCACTGGTGCTACTCAAAAGCGAACAAAGAAGTGAAAGAATAGCGGCGTGTAATCGGACAAAGAAGGGACGAGCAAAGCTTCCGTATTCCTGCATATAATGATTGGTCTACCCAATTAAATAAGAGGGCTGAGGGATAGTGACGAAATAACCCTACATTTAACGATGATATAACGACTGAACTGACGGAAGTCCATTTGTGTCAAGGCCAAACATAAATGGGGATTATAATTGTCAAATTCAATAAGTGGGACTAAATATGTAAAACAACATAAAACTAGAGACTAAATATGAAATTTACTCTTTGATAAAATAATATAGTCTTGTCACCACTTGTTTTGTAGAACTTTTGATGTAGTTTTTAAATATATGAATTTTATTTTTTAATTTTACACCTACAATCAAATAAATTGAATTGAAAATAAAGTCGGTCAAACTTCGTAAAATGAACCGGGAAGATTATTATAGGACGGAGGGAGTAATGTCTTTCACAATATAAGACCATATGTTTTTATTTTTCAATGTAGGATCATTGGTCATTATCTATTACGGAGTAGTTATTCTTCAATTAAATATCCAGTATCACTTGGACATTATTCTTCTCATTAGTCATTATTAAGTCCTATTTAGTGAATAAAAAAGTTCAAGTCCCACATTGGAAAATGATTTATGTTCTAGTCCTATTCACTGCAGATTTCACTTATAACAAATACTCCCTCCCCAAAAACAATTTTACGTTTAGTATTTACTAGAAAAAAAACTATAAAAATTTAATTACAATTTGTAATTAATGTTAGTGGGTATTTTATGTTAATGGGTATTTCATGTTAATGGATTGGACGTAAATAATGGGCTAGACATTAGTAATGTGTAGATACTACCTCCGTCTCAGAGTATTTATCCATTTTTTATTTTTTTGCTCAATTATTTTTAACATTTGAAGTATAACTAAATAAAATATATACTGTATATTGGTTATATAAAATAATATTTTAAAAATATTTTATATAATAAATTTAATAAAGTTATTTTTGTATGAATATCTAATATTATTTTTATTATATTTGAGGTTAAAATTTAGCAATTGTTGTTTCGAACAAAGTCAAAAGTAGACATATGGACTTATGGAGGGAGTATATAGTTGGAGTCTTGGATTATTCGGTGCTTTTCAATATCAACCCTAAATAGAGACCACTTTACTACGGAGTATTTATTTATTTATTGGATCTAAGTATATTAACTTTCTTTTTCTTTCGTTTGAGCATTTGACAAAACAATACTCTGTATAATTTTATTTTTTTATTTTGTTTTAATTGTTTTATATCCGTATATCTTTTGAGATTAAAACATACTCCGTATAATTTTATTTTTTTATTTTTACTGCAATTTTAAAATAAGTTGAATTAAAAATAATTTCAGTCAAATATTTAAATCTCAATGATAAGATCTTTTTGGCGCGGATTGAATAATACAAGCCCAATAACTAGGGTTTGTTCTTAGCTTTAAGACTCGAAGAAAAAGAGCTAGATGTTGGAAGAAATAGGAAAGTTCTAGAAAAAAATAGAAGAAACTAGAAAAACTAGAACAATCTACAAAAAACTAGAATAAACTGAAAGAAATCAAATGGAAATGTTAAAAAATTGAAAATTCTAAAAACAATAAAAAAAATTATTTAATTTTATTTTTATATTATTCTCATTCTAATTGTTGTTGTTATAATTTATTATTATTATTATTATTATTATTATTATTATATTCATAATCAGGTTATCGTAATCCATGTCTTTAAGATAAAAAAGTATTGCCTTTTTTGTACACAAAAGTATACTTTCAAAAAGATACGTAGTATACTACGAGTATTTAGAATATAAAGTTAGCATAAATATTGAAATTTTAAATTTTAAAAGGTTATTTTGGTTACGTTACACCTCAATTTATTTATGCATCATTTATTATAAAAATATAAATGTAATTATATTTATATATTACAAGATTTTGTTTTAAATATCAGACTTGTCACATAATATGATCAAGTCTATTTTTGTTTTATGATTGACAATGTATTTGCATTGTAACTCTTATTTTGAGAATAAAGTTTATAGAACTCACATTTGGTATTTTATGTTGTACTCATAGTTTAGTATTTTTCTCTAAAATAGTTTAGTATCTTTCAAAATGTTTATAAAAATTTGAAAAATGTTTTTCTCATATCAATTTAGAAGAGTGTGAATCCTAACAATAGTGACATGGAAAAAATAGTTTATAAACTATATTTATGAACATAATATAGTACTAATTATTATTATTACTATTATTATGCTGAGAATAATAATAATCACATTAAAAGTACATCATCTTTAGAGTAATTGTTTGAAGAGTATAAATACTATGAATAAAATGAGAGTAGTTGGAAATTAATGGAAAATTTAGAAAAAAAACTAGAAAAAATTGGGAAAAAATGGAGGGAAGTATAAGTAATTGCTTTGTTCATCATGCCTTCAAACCTCCAAACAAATTTTCTCCCAAAAATGTTAAATGTTTGTTGGTTATCCATATAATACAAAGAGGTAGATGGTTTATGACCTTGAAGCTCAATTCCCGCTCAAACTTCCCTCCCCAGCACTTTGTTCCAATCGTCAATCTCCCATTCAATCTCATTCAATTTTTTTTAAATTCTAGTCCATTTTCAAGTAAAATTACTTTTAAAAACTCATAAATCCCTCAATGAAATTATAATTTGGAGAAGCAAGAATATTTGTTTATTTATATGCCATAAATATTAATTTTATTCATTCATATAAAATTGCATATGAGGACAAATAATAAAAATATTTCATTTTATCCAACGCCAAATGGAAAGACTACTCAACCCGTCAATCCCAAGAAGCAACTTCTAAACACCCATTTTAGCTGTTTATGTAATCAAATCAGCCAAAATTGGTGAAAGCTACCAACCAAATGCCATCTCAAAAGCCAAAATCAATTCAAATATGCAAATTACATTTTGTTTATTTGTCCGTCATGTCACTTAAATTTGGTGAAACAAGTTAAAGGCGAAGTGAAAACGCCAATATCCAAACACACTTTATACTCCCTCCGTGCCTAAATAAACTTTCTTTTTCGTTTTTTCCCGGTCCATAAATAAACTTCTCTATCTTTTCCTTTAAAAAACTCATTTTATCCCTTATTTTTTCATACCCTACTTATCACATCATACCTTTTTACTAATAATTTACCTATCACATCTTACTTTTACACATCACATCAAGGGTATTTTTGAAAAATCGACACAAAAATATCTCTACCTTAAATCCTGAAAAAGTCAAAAATGAAAGTTTATTTAGAGACGGAGGGAGTATTATGGTAAAAATGATAAGGGATTGAAGAAGATATAATTTGATTGAATATGGACAAAAGGGTTAATTTATTGAATTGAAATGATTGTGTAACCCATAGTTTTTAGAACCAGACCAGCGATCGAACCGGTCGAGGTACTGGTTCACTATATATATAACCGGTTCTTGCTGATTTTTACCGGTTCACGCCGGTTCGTAGCTGATGCCTGTCCTTTGGCCTGGACCGAACCGGTTTCGTCACCGGTTCGCTGGTTCCGATCCGGTCCAGTTTTTAAAACTATGGTGTAACCTCTTCTTACATTGAAATATGTTATTGATTTATTTCCTTTGGATGCATATTTTTTTAAAAAACAATATGGAGTAAAACATTAATGCATGCACAGTGGCGGATCCAGGATGTTAGATAGTAGGGGTCACCTTTCGGGTGTTCAGGAGCAACGTTCCCAAAACTTTTTTTATACATGCAATGTGAAAATTTAAAAAAATAATGAATTTACCCTCAAACAGTTATTCAAATAATAAAAAAATAAAAAAATCAGTTTTTTATTTAATTCCAATATTATTAATTAGTTTAATTATTACTTCGTATATTTTTAGTGTATTACTTTAAAATTTATCTTTAGACTTTTGAATATTTCACTCACTACAAGAATTTCGCCTATTAGCTGCGCATATTTAAAGGGGGATTATTCCGCCTCTAATTAGCGTGGAATTAGCAGGGAATTATTCCCCCTCTAACTAAAATTCTAATTAGCGGGGGATTTATCCGCTTCTAATGTCGCAGCTAATTGAAATAAAATAGGCAGGCACATCTGAAGGAAAAAAATAAAAACTAAAAAAGGTGGTTAAAGAAAGTCGAAAATTTATTTTAAAATAAAATTAAAATAGAGGCGGACTTTTCGCCCGCTAATATCAAATATAATAGCGGCGGAGTTATCCCCCGCTTATTATAAACCAAACAAATTAATTAAATTAAAAAAATGGCGAATATTTCCCCCTCTAATATAGAATAAGAAAAGAGGCGGACTTTTCCCCCTTTTTATTAGTTTTTCAAAATTTAACTTTATTTATTAATTATTGGGATTTGGGACATGATATTTGCACTCCAATAAAAAAGAATACATTTATATACTCTCTTTAGGATTATGCTATGTATACCCTAAGTTTTGTACCCCAATTTGTACCCCGCAGTTTTGCACCGACACTTTGTGTTGGTGTAAAACTAATTTTTGTTAAATGCACCAACATTTGTGTCTGTGTGAATTTTTATTAACGCACCAACACTTGTGTCGGTGTAAACCATCGAAATGTTTGTGCAAACCTGTTGTGTACAAATGGGGTATATTTTTTGGTGTAAGTGGAGCATGGTCCACTCTCTATATTATCGCGATTGAGTTAAAAAGAGTATGGGAGATCTGCGTTTCTCATTAGATGCAGTACAGAACCACCAGATGGAGTGCGGCGGCAGAGCGATGCTCGGAAATCTCGATCGGCAACGGACATCGCTGGGAAGAAGCGACAGATGGGAGGCGAGGAACGGAGATCGATCCTCACGCCTCGATTTCGTCGGTTGGGTTTGCTGCTGCTGTGCTCCGTCGTCGTCGATCGTCCAGCCATCGAGAACGGCGGTCAATCCTCGGATTTCAGACGGCGACCTTGGATCTTGATATCTTCTGCAAACTTAGCCCGGTTCAATTCACGCCTCTATTGAGATTTCTTATATTTTTAGTTAGGGTCATAAATTACATTACTCTAAGAAAAAAAAATTAAGTATCACAATACATATAATTAAAAAAAAAAGTAGTAGGGGCCATTGCACCCAACTATTACAATACATATAATTAAAAAAAAAAGTAGTAGGGGCCATTGCACCCAACTATTCTAATATGGATCCGCCACTGTGCATGCATTTGACCTACTATTGGTAATAGCTTCTTAAAGTGGAAAAAACATAAACGTTTAGCCATAGCAGCATGTGTGAAATTCAAACGAATCTCATCAGCAATTTTACAGTACACAAACACATATATATACGGAGTACTATTATATTATTAGGTGAATTAAGAAACAGTGATCAAAGAATGGGTGGTTTGTATCGTGGCTTTGGTTTCAATCTATTTGTTCTAACCATTCTGATTGCAAATTCTCTCTCATCAGCTGGTATGTATAGCCATCTATATATATATTACCTCAGTCAAACCAAATTGATTTTTATGCCACGCTGTAATTAAGTCAACAAAACATGCATAGTGTGAAACTTAGTGTGTAACTAGATTTATATATCAAGACACTTGATTATATTAATTTTACTTTGAATAGCAATATATTAATTTCAAAACGACAATGTCATCAAGTAGGTAGTTTAATTTGTTATGCTGTTTAGTTTTGGGTGTTTGCACTTAACAGTTTTGTTTTGAAGTGGAATATATCTGTGCATTTGTTCAAAAAAAAAGACACATGCACTTTATGACGTATGTATATATATATATATATATATACTTCCGTTGTCCTAAAAATTATGGAAAAATATATGCACTCAGTCACTGTATTCGATTAGTTTTGTTTCATAAATCAAACATTCAACCCAAACAAACTTTAATATTCTACTTCCTCCGTTCCACAAAACACTTCCATTTTAATTTTTTGCACAGCCCATAAAATATTCCTATCCCACCTAAAATATCTAAAATACCCCTTAAACAACTTCTACCCGCAATAAACTACATAGTGGGGTATATTTTAGATATTTTAGGTGGGAGTAAAAGCGTTTAATGAGGTGCGCAAAAATTTAGGGCGGAAGGGTTTTAAGGAACGGAGGGAGTAATAAATTGTTAGTGTATTCTGTTTATATTAACATAGTGAAATAAAATATTGGAAGTTTTTTGTAAGTTTAATTTACTGAAAGCATTTTTATGCTAGTATGCAATACACTATTCTTATTTACTCCGTATTAATTAAGGTATTCATCTAGTTTGATTAATTAATGTATACAATGGGATGATATGCAATTTAGTTATTACGCAAATAATACACGCACACACACTCCGTAATTGCTTATCATGTTTAGTTATACTCCCTCCGTCCCAAAAAGATTTACACGTTTCAAAAAAATTGCGTCCCATAATCCCTTACCCATTTCTATTAAAAAACTACTTTTACCCCTTACTTTTTCAAACCCTACCTATCACATCATACCTTTTTCCTAATAATTTACACATCACATCCTACTTTTACCCATCACATCAAGGGTATTTTTGGAAAGTCAACACAAAATTATCCCTCCCTTAATTTTAACTTTAGTCAAAATGGGTAACACTTTATGGGATGGATGGAGTATATAATAATGCCAACAAATCTCCGTATATTCTTTTGCCCTTAGTTGATACCTATGTGTACGTAATCCATAGCTAATATCAATTTGTTTTTTTTTGTTGTAAATATGTTGTAGAAGGATCGTCGATTGCAAACACTCCGGAGAATGCTTTGTTTTTGCCAATTAAACTTTGCACTGGGGTAAAATGTTTCACAAACCCTGATTGTGTTAACTACCCCTGCCAGAAAGGTGCCCAAGGAGTCTGTATGCATTACGACCATGATCCGCGTGGCTTTTGCTGCTGCTGGCCGAAATAAGTACTACACTATATTATCTGTGTGCTGCCAATATAATGTTTGGAAACTTCTCTTAGATTATTGTTTTTCATTTGGCATCTTAATTAATATTAAGGTCTCCATTGTTTTTCATGTTATTTAAGAATAAAGTAAAATTGTGTTGAATATATAATGGACATTTCACATTCGTGCAGCACACTAATATGAATGGTATGAATTGAATTATTGAAAGACAATAATAATATTGCTCCGTATCCGAACAACTCCCTAAGCTACTCGTGAAGAAGTGACTTGATTTTATTTTGGGTCCAGAGTGTACTACGACTCCCCCCGTTCCATAAAACATTTCTCCTTTTTTTTATCCGTCCCACAAAACACTTCTCATTTCTATTAAAAAGTCACTTTTACCTCTTACTTTTTCATACTCTAACTATCACATCATATATACCCCTCTTTCTTAAAACCCTTCATCTTTCATTTTTTTGTTTTTCTTAAAACACTTTCATTTTCTATTAAAAACCACTTTTACCCCTACTTTTTCATATCATACCTATCACATCATACTTTTTTACTAACAACTAAACTTTAACATCTTACTTTTACCCATCACATCAAGGGCAAAATTGGAAAGTCAACTACAATTTAACACTTCCTTATTTTTCCCCAAAATCAAAAGAGGAACCGTTTTGAGAAACGGAGGTAGTACCTTTTTACTAATAATCTATCTATCAAATCATACTTTTACTTATCACATCAAAGGACATTTTTGGAAATTCAATACCAAAATACACTCCCATTAAATCCCTTCTAAAAAGCAAAACTCCCATATTTCACGCGACGGAGGGAGTATTATATTTATTATATTACGTAGTAAACAAGATTGTACAATTATATTTAGTATAAAAATATAATTTCAAAATTTAAATTTTTGGTTTAAAAATGAAAATTTTGAATTTACTATGAATTAGAATTTGAAAGATCAGAGAGTAATTTATCTAATAAGGAATGAATATGCTCTCCTAGTAGGCTAGAAGTTCTCCCTGCATGATCGACCTCATGTCCGAGTTAAATATCATTGTTTTCACATAAAGAATCAAACAAGTTACATTACATTGCGAAATAATATGTGAGAATGGATACTGAATTTAATGAAAAAAGTAGCACGCTCTCCATAATTGGTGACTTAGATGCATCGGAGGCTACGGTTCTGGCTTCTTTTCGTTGACCTGCAGAATAGAATAAAGAAAACACTTAGTATTAACTTTGGAATAAAATTACATGCAAAGTAGTTTGTGATGAGTTTGGAGATGATGTGTTTCTTACAATCTGATGATTTCCAGCCAAGTATTAACTTTTCTCGATCAAAAACGACTCGGTGCCCCGTCATGAAATTGTCTAGATCGAAATACAATTAATTAAATTAATTCGCATTATAAGCAAATAAAGCAAAAAACAATTAATTAATTAAATTAATTCGCATAAACTAAGCAAATTATTGGTGTAAGTGCCCAACCCAAATACAAGTAATTGTCTCTCTCTTTTCTTGAAATATACTCCATATTAACAAAAAGATTTAAAAGTAATTTATCAAAAATATTTTTCAAACATAATAACTTAATATAATGTTTTCTTACAATCACATAATGACATAAATACAAGATGAGAAAATATACTTACGTCCAATGATGTTGATTTCGTTTTTGACAACACCAAAGCAGTAAATTTCTTCACCCCACTACAATCAAAATTAGCAGAATCTTTAATTAGTGGAGTGTAAAAATAGAAACCTATTCTCCTTTATTCCAACCCAAAGTAAAAGTTACTTTTACCTAGTTGGGAGTAATAAACAAAATGAAAAAAATTTAAAATGTATGGTTATAATTTATTTGAAGGAAAAAAAAGCTGCTGGCCACCACAACTTCTTTAAGAGGTAACAAACAATAAAGTGATAATGAACTTTTGTTTTGGGATGAAGAAATTAAAATAGAAAATGGTATTCGTATGCATTATATATTATTATTATTATTATTATTATTATTATTATTATTATTATTATTATTATTATTATTATTATTATTATTATTTTATACACTCCGTATCTCACGTACTCCACTAAATGGTTGGAAGTCTATTAGTTTGATGGGAGTGAGAACATGGAAATCAGCCCCTCCTTTTGTCCTGAAGCTTAAGGATGGAGCCTGTATTGAGGTACCATTCCTGCAACATAGGTAAAAAGAAATCTATAAATAAGTAAATGAGGGTGTGTACGCACATATTCCATATATTTTTTTTCATACACACACACACACACTCAAAAGGACTATATTCCACTGTTTTCCACACACTGCACCTTGCGACATAACAATGCTCAAAAGGACCCACGGGTATTGGACTGAGAGTGGCATTCACAATTAAAGAATTAAACTGCATGCATTCAAATAAAGATATTGAGTGAATAAGTTTTTGTGTTCAAGTTGAATTAAATAGAAGTGATAATTATTTAGATAAATTAAGAAGGTGAAATAGAATAATTTAATGTCACGCAAAACTCACAATTTTGGTGACTAAGGTGTATGCCTCTCCGGTCAGGTAGGTCAAAGTGGTGCCGGAGTCAAAAAGGGCCACCAGCGAAACATTGATTACAACATTTTCGACAGATATGTGCTCTATCTCAATGTTGTAATAAGGGCTGCAACATCATTCAAAAACAAACAAACATGAAACACCACATGACATAGGTAAAATCTGAATTTTCATAATTGCTGTTACGTTACTACGTAGGTTTAATTTTTCTAATAACTTAATTACCTTTTGTCAAAGGTAGGTAATATTGGGGTGAATGTCAGGCCATCGTCACCTTTATCCCCGAAAGCGATCCTACCGTACCCATTGGGTGCGAAACACATAGAGAATGAGTTTCGAACCAAACCTTGGGACGATAGGAGGCTTGTGACGTCCAGCGCAGTGTACCCCAGTCCAAGTAGCCCGTTGACCGCATCCACGTCCAGAAAATCACCCGTTTCTACTTTTCCACATCTACAAAAACAACAAAACAAATAGAGGGGATTAGAATTGAAGCAATAATAAACAACTAAACTGAATGAACTGAATGGGTTGAATACACACCCCAATATAACGGGCGCGCTGGTGCGGGTGCGGTTGCGGTCGTAGGTTTCGATGTGCAAAACATCTTTGACGAGAATGCCCCTGGAAAAGTATTCTTGGCCATGTAGTCGGCTTCGTAGGGGCACGGGTAGTTATTGGGTGCTTGGGGAGGGCAGTCCTCTCTCTTGGGGGGGAAGCAGTAGGGGCTACCACAGGGAACAACCTCACTCGTTCGTGAGGCACTGTAGTTGTACCAGTACAGGTTTATTTGCTGCGGCAATTAACATAATACACATGCACATAATGTTTAATTTGTTTAGTCGTACGTAGAAAATGTTGTGATATATATATATATATATATATATATATATATATATATATATATATATACACACACACACACTGAGGAATGAATAATATATTTTACATGTATACGTACTTCTCCGTGTGATTTCTGGAATGAGCGGGCACAGTTGTCGCAGCCGCATGGCAACCAGAATGTGGCACTTCCGGTGTCAAGTGCCACCAAAAATGGCACCGGTGGGGTACCCACATATACAAGGGCATACTGGAGCCTGCACGCATATAGTAAAGATTAATCAATTAATTGCGGAGTAATTATTCATCATATAATTAAGAAATATTGGAATAACATGTACGTAATAATTAATTAACGTGTTTTAAATTAGTAATTACCTGGCCAAGTTGTTTATGTTCTCGGTGACATCGCCACCGGCAAAGGTGAACGCCGGTGAGTGCCGGTGGGAGGAAGAGAGGTGGCGGCGATGATCGTAAGCCGCCCATGCCGAGTAATATTCCGCCGTGCCCTTTGCCGGCAAACCCGCGGCGCCCAAGACTCGAGTGACTTCTTCAGAATGCCGATGATACATGTTATAATCATGGGAGCTGTTAGTATATGCCATTCCAGAGAGAAAAATGGTAATTATTAGAAGAAGAAGACGATGATGATGAAGAAAAGCCATTATTGGAAGAGAGACTAATTTGCCCGTTGGATAAGCTGGTAAGAAAGAAGCTAAGATATGGCTATTAATTAGCTACTAGGCATGCATGTTACAATCAAGATATATATATAACAATATATTTGTTCGCCCACCTACATTAATCAAAATAAACAATAATTAGTGCAGATTGTAAATATGGAAACTAATTCTCCTTTATTCCATCCCAAAGCAAAAGTCACTTTGGCCAAATATAACTACTAAAGGCTAGCTAGTAATAAACAAACAAAAAAAATTAAAATTGTATTGTTAAAATTTTTAAGAGCTGATGAGGACCACCACCTTCTTTAACAAACAATAAAGTGGGAGGGATTTATTGAGGGTTAGGTGTAGGAACTATCAATTTTTACGAACGAAATACCGTAGGTTTTACTTTCAGTGTTATCTGTGCCCATTCAAACAGAGTAATCATAGAACCTGATCCAAATAATATATGGTGTATAATAAATTTAAACATATGTACCGAATAAAATACATATACGTATTAAAATTCCAAAATATTTTATTTTACTATTTTACAAATATCCAAATTACTTATTACCCCTTTAATTAATCTTTCTCCTAATTCTCTAAAGTGTGACAGGCATAACTAATATGAATGACTTAATCTAGTTATTAACCGAGTTAGATTTTAATTTAAACTTGCTGCTCTTTTTCTTCTTAGGATAGCATTACAAATTGTTATGCGGGCTCTTCAGAAAGGGATACCAATATTATAGCCTAGTGGTGCATGTGCATGCAGTTTCATTATGTAATTAATGGTATATATTTTTACTTTTATCACTTTAGGGCCAATAGTGCTAGTTAGATGCCACTAACACTATTCTATAAACAACAATACATAGTACCCTTACCCCGTAGACACTTCAATACTAAGACTTTCCTAACCAAGAATATATAACTCATACTGATAGTTGTGTGTTGTACACTTGTACGGATACTCTATGTCTCTATCTTATCCTCCTAATTGGTAGTTTAATAATTCTAATCGTGGTTATGCTCAATTGCTCACCATGAACAAATATACCTTCCTTGTTGCAACAAGGAGACCAAAATATATTGAATACACAATATATTACTCCTTCTGTCTCATAAAGATGTTCCCATTTTTATTTTTGGGAAATTTAAGAGAGAGATGTTTTGTGTTCATTTTTCAAAAATAGTCTTGATGTGGTACATAAAAATAGAGTGTGATTGGTAAATTATTAATAAAAAGATATTATGTGATAGGTAGCTAGTATAAAAATTAATATGGGTAAAAGACTAAAAGTGATTTTTTAATCTGAATAGGAAAGACTTTGTAGGGCAAGAAAAAAAGAAAGAAAAAGTTTCTCGGAATGAGGGAGTATGAAATTAAATTTATTATTTTTGTGCATGGTCCTTCATCAAGTCTCAAAACTCCATAAATAATCCTTCAAGTACACATCAGCCATCCAGATGAGGTCCTTTTGATGGTAAATGTTAAAAGCTAATTAAAAGGAATACTAGCTTCAATTCATATTATACGGAGTAGCCATACCTAAGAGTAGATAATCCTTATGCCACGCCGGAACCTTTCGATCACGCCGGCGTCTCGCTCCGCTTGTCCACGGCTCCTCACCCATTGTCCCTGTCACTTCCGCCTCGTGGTCATCCTCAGCTCGTCCGTCGTTGGCCAGCACGCTGCCCTCCCCGTCCTCCTGTTGCACCGTATCAAATTTACTCGTATTATATGGAACTAGTGCTCCATTTAGCTTTAATTTTAATATTTACTGACAAAAGAACCTTATGTGGAGGCTGACGTGAACTTGAAGGAGTAATTATAGATTTTTGAAACTTGAAAGACCAATCGTACACAAATCATAAAGCAGAAGAACTATTCATGGACTTTTGAAATTTGAAGGACCAATCGTGCACAACTCATAAAGTTGAAGGACCAATGGTGGATTTTAGTCTTTACAAGGTTTTTGAATGACGTTATTTTCAATTAATTTTCTTTGAAAATTGGTAAGGGTTTAAAAAAATAAAATTTAAAAATTATATAAAACCTACTAGTGCCAAAAAAATATTGTGTGCATGTTCCAACTAATTATATACTCCGTATAAAAATTTATAATCAATTTTAATTTAAAACTTATACCAAATTACTCGTATCGAAAAATACTTTTAATATACTACTTCCTCCATTCTTAAAAATACTTTTAGGGCTTGTTTGGTGAGAAAGAAAGATATGGATTTCGATATCAAATCTAAAATACGAAGTTTCTAAAATATACAACCGTCGTCCTCGCCCACCAACCGAACCTGAGCCTCTATCCAGCTGCCACTGGCCGAACCTAGCCTCCTCCCAATCCTGAGCTCCAACCTCCGTTCGCCGCCCAAAATTATAGAATTAGAAAAGAATATTTTCTAGTCCGCTTTTTCAATCATGTTTCCTTTTAAATAATACTCCATCCGTCCCAAAAAGATTTACACCTTTCAAAAAAATTGCATCCCACAATCTCCTACTCATTTCTATTAAGAAATGACTTTTACCTCTTACTTTTTCAAACACTACCTATCACATCATACTTTTTTCTTAATAATTTACACATCACATCCTACTTTTACCCATCATATCATGGGTATTTTTGGAAAGTCAACACAAAATTATCCCTCTCTTAATTTCAACTTTAGTCAAAACGTGTAAATCCTTTTGGGACGGAGATAGTACGGAGTAGTTTCTATAAATAGAAAACCTTTTTGCAAATCATTAATTAGGTAAATGTTTAGGCACCAGTGTGAAAAATATGGCAATAGGTATGTCATATATCTCGCTTAAACCGGCCTGCACAAAATAGGGCCCTCTCGGCCCGTCATACCTGTATAGATTAGGCGGGCCTGAAATTTTAAATGGGCGGATCTAGCATTAAAATACGGCCTATTGCCCATTCAGTTTTACAACAAATAGAATAATGTGTATATTTTTTTAAACATATAAATATATTAGCGCGTTTAAAATGACATTAGTAATTTATATACTAATTGCTTATACCAATCTAATTGTATTATTTTCTTCAAAAAAACTAGTTGAATTATTTTTTAGCTAGTATTATTATTGTTTGGTTATTAATTACTATGTTGTTTTAATTAGTTACATTTTAGAGTTTGAAGTCTTCTAGGGGTTGATGTCTTTATATGTAGTAATTGGGCTCGCGAGAGGAATTCGTTCAATCAATAAAATTTACTCCGTATCTTTCTCATCCTAATATTTTTGTGCTTGTAAGGCACCTAATTTAGTACTCCGTCCGTTTTAGTTTTTTTTTAAGTTATTAGTTTGTAAATAAAATTATTTAAAAAACACCTAATTTGTAATCAAAATTGAGACATAGGAAATAATAGTAATAATAATAATAATAATTGTAATAATAACAATAGTTATATGATTAATAATAATAGTAATAATAATAATTATAGTCATAATTAAATGCCAATAGTAATAATAATATTAGAATATTATTAATAATATTAATAATAATAGTCATGATAATAATAATAATATTAGTAATTATAATAACAATAGTAATAATAATAATAATAATAATAGTGATAGTAATAGTAATAATAATAGCAATAGTAATAATATTAATATTAATATTAATATTAATAGTAATAATTATAAAAATAGTAATAATAATTATAATCATAATAGTAATCGTAATAGTAATTAATATTAATGATGATGATGATGATGATGATGATGATAATAATAATTTTTTTTTAAAAAAAATCTAATCTGATTGAACTTGATCTGATCTAATTGGATCTGATATGATTAAATATAATATAATTTTAATAAGATAAGTAATAATAAAAAATAAGTTAAATAGAACACAACTTTGTTTGTTAAATCGCACACATTGTAGTGTCTGTGTACATTGTGCTTGAATGATCAAAATGAATCTAAATTGTGACCATGTTGATGACCCATGAATCATTAACAAACACATCAAAATACACACCACTAACATCACACAAAAAATACTTTTTCACAGATAAATACCTCTAGCTTTAATTCTTACATGTCATGAGATAATGCTACTTTAACTCGACCGACGCCAAAATTTTACTCATAGAGACAAATACGCACATTTGTCTAAGAAAAATCACATCTCTGAATTGAAACGATAATGGGATTAACCTTGGTATTATCCGTGGTGTTACTATAGCATTACCCTAAGTTAAGACCTATGTATCCAAAGACTAAGGTAATGACAACACCAAATAGGCTCAATTAATCAACATAGCACCAAACACAGCAAAAAGCTCATGCAATGGTCAAATGAGAATAACAAGGTAGTAAAATTGTCAAATCTCATTTCACATTTTTCAAAATCAAGAAATTCGTATCACTGGCAAAGATCAAAGATCTCGCAGGAGGAACTCAAGGAAGAAACAGAACTAAAAATAAAATATGTTTCTAAACAAGATAAGTTTAGTCTAAGCGAATGTTTTGAGAATGCATTTGAAGGAAAGGAAATGCAAAAGATTCCTTATGCTTCTGCGATTGGGATTCTAGGCTATTTTCAAGTATGTACGCATCCAGATTGTTGTAAATTCATTAAGGGACAAATTAAAACTCTCAACCATACGGCCTAGTTTTTGAGTCTTACATATGATTATTTAAAAGACATTATTTATTGCAAATAATGGACGCAAAATTAACTTAAATGAAAATACATCTACCTAAATGAAAACATTTCATTCTTATAAAATTATTTTAAAAGTGAAATTGTAAAACCAAAAAATAATGAAAATTGAGCACATGGTAAATGAAAGGCATTTTGAATCATTTTTAATCATTTGGCAAATAAAGACTCCCCACGTCCCAAATTATCCTATAAAAGTATTGATAATTTTATTCAGCCATACTGGAAGCTAAGGTATAGCATTATTATTACTTTGTAGTATTATTATTATTATTACAAGAACTATACCAGAACTAAAGTTTATCATTTTGTCTATTTTTACTTTTTCTCATGTTACTATTTTTGCATTTCACACTCATTGTTATTTATTTATTGTACTTTTTAGCATAAATAATTCACTTTTTATAAAGATTTGCATGACACTAAGCTATATTCAAAAAATTATAGATCAAAGAGCTACTCCCTCCGTCCCATGAAACATGGAGTTTTGCTTTTTAGGAGGGATTTAAGTGGAGTGTATTTTGGTATTGAATTTCCAAAAATGTTCTTTGATGTAATAGGTAAAAGTATGATTTGATGGATAAATTATTAGTAAAAAAAATATGATGTGATAGTTAGGGTATGAAAAAGTAAGGGGTAAAAGTGACTTTTTAATAGAAATGAAGACTGTTTTGTGGGACGGATAAAAAAAGAAAAGAAAAAGGTTTTATGGGACCGGGGAGTATTTTTTATTAATCTTATAGCACCGGATGAGACGATCGAGAAGGAATATAGAGTATAGACATATAGCTAGTCTTCCACAAAGTGATCTCTACTCTCAATTCAATGGATCTTGCTCAATTGATGAGAATAGAGAAGTAGTCGTAAGATTAGTCTTCGAGACCAACCATACCCCTATGGCCTTTATGTAGCAACCAGGTTAGATCTCACTAAGGGGCTGTTTGGCAACTTCTGAATAGGTAAGTGCTGAACTAGTAAGAGGTCTGAACCATTAAGTGCTGAACTAGGGGTGTAAACGAACCGAATCGAAGCGAATACCAAGATATTTGAATTTGTATTTGTTTAATTTTTTCGAATACGAATCCGAATATGAGACGAATTCAAAATAAGATTTGAATAAGTATTTGATTAATATTCGAATAGTTATCAAATCCTAAACGAATATTTGAATAATCATACTATGTCATTTATATGATGGACCAACATCGATTTGTAATTTAACTTACGATACTCCTTATAATATACTATATTCCGTATTTAAAAACATTAATACATTTGCATCTTACACAAATTATATTTTATAAAATATAACTATTAAAAATCATATGCTTTAGATTTTCGTGTGACGTTAATTTATTGAATTCTTAGTAATTTAAATACACTTTATACTATATTACTCCGTACTTAGCTTGACTTTTGATATTGAAAACATGGTCTGTGTATATATACATATATTCGAATATTCGAATATCATCCGAATCGAATATATCCCTATTTGTATTTGTATTTGTTTAACATTCGAATCAAAAATAATATTTGAATTTGAATTTGAATTTGAATAATATGAATTCGAATCATTATATTCAAATACAAATCACGAATCGAATTTAAAATATTTGATTTGTTTACATCCCTATGCTGAACCAGTAAGTGGTCTGAACCATTAAGAGCTAGTATATTGCTTAACTATTCAGAGGTAAATGTCTGATCAATTCAGATAAGAGCTCTTAACCATTCAGACTCTGTATAATACTTAATCGTTCAGAGGCAAATCTCTTAACCATTCAGACATCTAAACCATTAAGAGGCTAAAACAAACAGTCTGAACCATTAGGTGCTGAATCATTCAGACATCTGAATCATTAAGAGGCTGAAACAAACAGCCCCTAACACTAACTAGGTTTGTTACCGGGTTTGCAGATTACAAAGCTCAAACCGTAGCCCAACTTTATTCAGACCACTTAATTAGCCTAATATTAGTAAAAATATAATTATCTTAATTTTTTAGCCCACAT